AGCAAAGGAATAAACTTAATCTTGCATGCAGTTATCAGCTATTAGCAAACATAGTTATCAGCTATGGCAGGGATGGGGAACCAGGGACCTTCCAGGTGTTTTTGGGTGCCAGCTCCCACCAGCCCCAGCTTGCCTGATCAGAGATGATGGGAGTTGTTGTCCAGCAACATCTCAAGGGGGAATGTTCTCTACCTCTGCTTTATTCTAATGGTGAAGTCAAAACCAACTTTGAATGAGCTGCTGGCTCTTCTCAAGCTGCTATAGGGATATGAGCGAGTTGTCAAATGAAAGCACATCTTTCTGAAATTGGGTGGTGCTAAATTTGACAACCTTTGTGAAAGCACCACAGGAACTTGGATAATGAAAAGGTAGAAGAAGGCTATGACCTTTGAGATGTCCCAGCCATTGCATGAGCTGCTGGGTCACAGACACCCCAGAGGTCAGAGAAATGAGAATCTACAGATATTGGTTTAGCTGTTGTGGTGCCATGAATATTAAGATATTAAACTACCAGCACTAGGGGAATAAGGAGTCATGATCTTTTAGCAGAAAGGAGTATGAGGAAGTGAAGAGACAGTACTGATGCACTTGTGTTCAGTTAAGCTGAGTATGTGAAAGGGGTGCATGAGTGATTCTGTGTATGAATAGGGTGAACAGCAGGTGTATGAATGCAGTGAATGAGAGTGCAAGATCTGAATGAGGTAAATGGTGAATGTAAGTGTAGCATGGGCAATGACATAGAAGTACAAACAATATACATCTATCAGTGAATTTTCACAGCTCTACTGGTTGAAATGTAATTAGAAAACAAATCCCATACATGAGAATAAGACAGGTTATATGTAAAAAGTAAGGGCTAACTAAATTTAAGGTTTCTTGGAGGGTTCCTGCTTTACCTTGCTTTTTGTTATTAAGTACAAATCAGTTGTTTTTAGATCAACAATGGCTGCAATGCACATTTAGATGACTGGGTGAGGCTTGGGGAACATTGGAGATGCAAAAAAATTTCCAGAAAATGGAAAGCAGGGAAATAAAAGCAAAGCAAACTTTCCTTAAATCTTCACACTTCCGGTTGATCTCCCACATATTTCCCAAGTTCTGTTACTTTTTCTGAAAAAAGCGTGAATATTATCTCTTGTTCTCATTTAAGCCTCTGCTGTGGGATCAGGCCTTCCCCCTCTCATCTTCTGCTAGAGCTGTGCACTAAAACACTTTGAAACCTGGAGTAACTGTCTTCTGATCTCCACAAGAATTAGTTGTGCCATTTTGTCTTCTTGTACTTTTGTGAGAAAGTGTCCAGGTTCCCCCAATATAGACAGTCCTAATTTTCCCTTTGTCAGAAAGTCCTCAGATGTGCTTCTCTTTGGTCTCTGCTCTTAGCTATTGTGGGCTGTTACTTTTCATATCTCAGTGCTTAGATTTCTTATTCCCAGTCAGCCAATTGTTTAATTCAGCCTATGGAACGGATTTGACAAACCTTGCTGTTGCAAGTATTTATTATTAAATGTGAATCAAAGGTTTTTAACGAATGATGATCATCGTGTACGGTTTTGCTGAATTGCATTGTTTAAGATGGCTGGCTGATTGGCAGGCTTTTACTGAGCTTTGCAAACTCATAAGCCACAAGTACCTTATTTCTAGTAGGTCTTTTGCTATTCCTCTTTTCCTTCAACGATTTCTTTATATCAACATGGAAATTAATCTCTACTAGGGATTGATATTCCCTTGTGTTCCTAAGCGTTGCCATGCATCGGCTTTCTTAAATGATTTAATCTTTCACTACTGTGTGACACCACTGCCATTTTTAACAAGGTCATTTTTATCCAGAGAATGCCTGCCTTCTCTAGGCCTTTTCCATGAAATGTGGATCTTTAGCCTCTGAACATAGGGTTACCTTTTACCCCTAAATTGAGGCACCTGCAAATCCCGACCTCCTGGAGAGAGCATTCTATATCCACTTGGTGTCAACAAGACTCCATGAACAAAATCTTGATTATCATATTTGAAAATGGTGGTGACGTTTTTAGTGATATGGAGTGATCACTCACATCTTCCCTCCAGCCTAGAACATACATTCATGTTTTGGATGGCAGCTCATTATATGCCTCCCATTGTGTGAGTTTTGTGCTTGTTTTTGGTAATGCCCAGCCACATTAATACAGGTAAGTGCCAGAGATCTGAATGGATTGCTAATACTTAAAGCAAAATTCTAATCTCACCTAAACTTAGTATCATAGAAATAGCTATTTTGAACCATAGACTCTCATTACCATCTAACTTTTCCAGATCTCATTCTTCTGCACTTCTTTTCCTTTCCTTTCCCCCCTTGCCTAACCAGAAGTCCTTTCCTTCTTCCATGTTTGACCTGCCAGTGTAATAACTTAAGATCACGGTTTCTCTTAAATTGTTGCAAACGACAATTTACAGACTGGTTGTCAAAGGTATTTTTTGATGCATCATAAAATATTTTTGATATCCCTATACTGGCGCAAAACACACCACAGCATTTTCCTGTCCTGGTCTCCTTCTTTCTCAACGTCCAGGTTTTCCATGTTAATCTCACGATGCTCTACCCTTTTCCTAGCCCTCCCCAACAAATTTAACTAACCAAAACCCTTACATCCCCTTTTCTTCCCCAAAGTACATTGCTTCTCCTCCAGCTTTCTTTTTTGAAATCGTAAGATATCCACTCAGATTTATTGTAGAGCACTGATACTTTCTCTCCCCCTTCCTCAAATCTTCCACCCCAGATTTACTGAGTTGCCCTTGTGCTCGGTAGCACAGATAGCACAGACTTAATCAACTTAGCCTCAGACCTTTGCATCTGGAACAAGAGGTGGGAGAGAATTATGAAAAGACCATGGACACCCCAGAAGGTAGGAGCAACAAAGGTGAAAGTTGGGGAGGGGGGAGCCCTTTGTTGTCCCTTTGCAGTAATGTTTGTTAACAGATTAATGCAGCATTCACATATCAGTCCAGTTTTCCTGCCTTGATTTATTTTTAACCCCCCCCCACCCCCCCAGAATTTCAATTGCTGTTCTGAATATTGGTTTTCAAATGCAGGAGCTACATTTATACAAGGGTCTTACATCTTAAGACCCTTAGCAGTAGCAGAGCTGACAGTGAAGCCCAGAATGCAGATTGCTTCACATCTTCCCATAACCATATTCAGCTCTCTCAGAAATGCTTTCAGATGCAGGTGGCTGTAACGTCTGTAAATGACTCACCATTGCTCAATAAACAGGTCCTATCCTGCCCAAATTAATCCAGGTGAGGCAGCAGGTCAGGGTGGATAATTTCATCTCACCAGCAGGCAAGGTCCTTTCCTCTTCCACTCCATGGACTGCCCATTTGTTTGTCACCTGATGGCAGGTGACAACTTCAAAGCTGTGGAGTAAATATCACCCCCAGGCTAGACTGACTTGAACAGGCTTAAATAGTGTAGGTTTGGTAAATCTAAAATGTACATCTCTCGTGTGACGGTTGTTTTCCATTGATGGCTCTAAAGGGAAGGAAGATTCTCCTTGGCTGGAAAAATGTTTCCAGAGGTGCCAATGTATTCTGTATGTTTACTGCCTTTTGCTCTGTGAGGGCTTGTTTTAGATCATGAATTTTCATGTAGGACCTTCTCCAGTCCAGCATCTTTTTCTACTCGGTGCTTGCACACCTTTTGTTTACAAAATAGTATTTCTTTGCATGTGTGACTAGTTATAATGGATTTGATTAAAAAAGAAGCATGAGTGGAAGGGAAATCACTATTAGCACTGTTTTGCATATACTTGTCCAAGTTCAAGCACTGAATTTAAATAGTGCTGAAAGTAGGTGCTGAAGCAGTTTGCATGCTTCTGCTGGATTTAGATGCATCGTTCTCATGTAAAACTTGAGATGGGAATAAGACACTTCGAATCTTGTGATATTTACTTCCAAATAAATGTGAATAGGTTTGTACTGCTAGAATTTTAAAAATTATGCAGTCGCTTAATAATTTCACATAAAAAAGAGAAGCTTTCCCCTGTAGCATTATGATAAACACAGATGTTTTAAAAATAAAAGGAAGCTTCGCATGATATTCTAGTGTTTGCATATCTGCAATGGATGGTAGTCTTTCTGTTCTGTTTAGTACACCTGACTTTATGTAGCATAATTGATGTGCTGTTCACTGCAAAGGGAGGGGGGACCTAATATAACCTCTGGGGATAACTGGTCATGGTTTGAACTGCTATAAACCAGGAAAAATGATTATCTTATGTAAGATTTCCCCCCCTCTTCTACAAAGCAAATTCTGTTGGCGGTGACATAAGATTAAATTTTGAAGTAATAAATGCAGCTTTAGTGAATAACAAGGGAATGAAGAGAGAAAAAGCAATCATGCTCCTCTTCTTCTCCTGCAATCTCTCCCTACCCACCTGCGCGTAGTAAGTCCTCCAAAGCATTATAAGGCTCTTGTTTTAAGCTGGCTTGTCTCCTGAACCTGTTAGTGACTGGGGATATACTTCAACACTTTGCTGCAGGTTCCCACTTGTTCCTTCTGAGGACAAACCTTCTAATGTTCTGTACCTATTAGTTTGGCAGCAAAATGGGATTACTCACAGACAAGGTAGAGGTTTGTGTATAGTTACAGGACTTGCCACCCATGTAGGAAAACAAAGTATAATAAACCCCAGAACATGGCCTCCAGGAGGCAGAAACTTTTGCAGCAACTACAAGGGAGGAGGAGGAACAGGGTGGTAAAAATGACTGCATTGAACCGTGGCTAGCGTCTTATAGTATCCTGGGGGAGGATTAGGGTTTAGGGAAAGTGTGTTGTGTGATGTTCATTTCCCAGTACTCACTTCCCTCCCCTAAAATCCTGGGGGGATACTACACGTTTAAAGGGCTGTAGGATTCAACAGTATCTGTCCCTTATTGTACTGCTTGGGTCATGGGCTAGATGAGTTGCTTCTTACTCACTTATTCTCAAACATCAGCAGTTATTATTATAGACCAAGTGCACTACTGGACTAGCCTTAGGGCTCAGGCACCTTGTGCTATTGTACTACGGGAGGAGGGATATCCCAGTTGTACACACACACACACACACACACACACACACACACACTCATTTCATTATGTGTCTCTGACTTGTCTATTTTTCAGCCCATGTATATGAAAATGCCAGTATCCAACTACATACTATACTTAATGCTTGTTTTTATTTCATTATAGCCATTGAACCCCATATTGCTTTGGGGATCACAGTGCATAAGTTACCCCTTCTCTTCCCAACTGTATCAGCCCTGAAAATCACCTCCTCCCTCTAGGATGGTTAAGAACCTCACTTTAAATTGACACTATAGCACCTTCTTTCTAATTCTTATAGCCATGCTGAGCAGGACTGTGCAGAAGGGACTGCAACTGGGAAGGGAAGGGATAAATCTATCCTTCCTGCATACAGTGATCCTGATAACAATTGTGTGTCCCCTCCCCTGGCTACTGTAATTAATTTAAGAAAAACAGATATAGCTGTATGCTACCACATGAAACACGATGTGCAGTTTGACCCTGAGAATTTATGAGAGGAATATGATAGCTCAGATAGACCAGTGATGAAAATGAAATAAGAGCCTGAATAGAATGGAAACATAAAAATTGAGTGCCACATAAAACTGGCATGTGAATTAGGTTGCATATCACTGTATGTGCAAGATGCTAGAGAGGGAAAACATCTTAATAGTTTATGAATCTAACCGAGCTCTATATCTTCTGTATTATTATTTTTTTCAAGCAAATGAGGGCAGTGCTTTGCAGGCACATCCGTAAACCGCAGAAGTTAGAGTACTTGAGTTTAAGCCAGCTTTACTATCATTGATTTCACTGAGCCTAGATTGGCTCACATTCAGATTTTCTGATTTTACTAATTTGTTGATCAGACTGACCTGAACCAGCCTGAACCAGAGTGAAGCTGTGCCAGAGTTTAGCACCATAATTATGTGAAGCATACATCAGTGGCAGGTGAAGCATTCTTTGTTTCATGTGCATTAAAAAAAAAAGTAATGAAGGGAAGGGAAATTGCTGTTTTGGCTAGACTTTATGTAAACAGGGCAGAATCTATCCTCGTCCATATGTCTGATATTAAGGCGTACCTGTTTTTGTGGCCTCAGGTTCAATAAATAGTATTGCGGCTTATACTTTGATCACCTTTTCCCCCCCTGTTCTGAAATTGTGTCAGCTATATAAATTAAGCAGTCAAGGCAAAAACCCTAGTTTTTTTATCTCCACGAGCCTAAAGTAGGCAGGTAAAAATAAGTAGGGATGAAATTTGAGCCATACAGGCCTACAATCACAGATTTCTAATGGAAGAGACACCAAAGCAGTATCTTCATCCCCTGAAGAATTTTAAAATCAATTGAAAATTCCTTGTATATTTGTTAGTCAAGCAATATTTAGAGAAGAATGGACATTTGAATAAATTTGACTGGGTTCCACTCTTTGTTTATTTAGTTTATTGTATGCTATCCTTCATCCATCAATCTCAGGGTTGTTCACAGCACTCTTCCCTATTTAGGGAAGATAACAGAGCATTAGCAACCAGATCTGGACCATGTTCCAAAAACAAAGGCTTTAATACTAATATGAAAGAGTCTCGGGGTGAAGAATCTTTGCTGTGTGCATCTGTATGCTCGCCCCACTGGCCTACTGAGAGATGTGCCATGAGGCTTGATGCAACTGATTATATTTAGATTACTGCCTGTTGTAAATTATAATAGTTGACATTTTGATGTTAGTGGGGGAAATGGTTTAATCTAATTAGTAGACAGAATACATTCCCCTATGCTGTTTTTGTTTTTAGGAACACCGTCCTCCTGAACAAATATAACCAATAATGTTGTCATCAAAACATAATGTTCTAACAGAATCTGCTTGGTGTGCCTGACAGCATGATACGTCCTGCAATTCTTAGCTACATTGTCAACATCTTGAGCCTCGCCAGAGTGCTGGAGAGGCTATGGAAAGCCGTGTAAATCTGTCCCTTTCCCAAATCCTATATGGAAAGGCAGACTATATAAACTACTTAAAATGAAGACAAGCACTTCTTTGATGTGGATGATACGTTTTTATTTGTTCTTATCCGTAGTGATGATTTATTTGTTTTGGTCACTGGCTGCGGTGAAGGGAAACTAAGGCAAAGTAAAAGCTAAAAGCAGTGAAGGAAACAAAAACCAGAGCAGCCTCAAAATGCACATAGCATAAAGCTACTTTGAATCAATAGCCAACATCCAAATTCAAACTCCATAAAACGTGACTTAAAGTAGATTTGCTATTGCTTTGCAGAGCTATAGTGGTAAGTTCAGTGCTTAACGGTGTTATATAACACCTGGTCTTAAATGTAGCTGTAGATGCTGGATGAACTTGCACACTCTCTGGCCAAAGATTGTGTGCTGAGGGAACCATAACATTTAGATCATGTTGATTTTTATGTTCCTGACGGTAGGCTGTGTGAACCAGCCTTTTCAGTTCCACAATAATAGAAAATTGCTTAAGAGATAATGCATTTTTACTCCATGTTTGCGCAGGGAGCAGTTAAAAATTCGAAAATGTAAGTGCCAAGTTATGCAATGTGTGGTGCGTTTGCAATTTCATTGCAAGGATTTTCATGTTTTGCTTTCATGTTGTGTTAGTACAGGAATAATGTCTCTGCTGGCCACAGACTGCAGTGGGAAGGGCCAGAGACAGTAAGTGTGAGGCTTATATGTGGTTATGAATAAAACACTCCAGACTGTTCACACGAACGCAAGCATGCAGTCCTTTTACTTCTCTGAAGCATGTTTCCACCACAGTGATGTTTTCACATGGATCTGTGTGTGAATCCTGGACTCATCATTTTGAGATTAATCCTGTGTGTGCTTGACTCTTTATTATTATTGGCATAAGTGTTGCCACACAAGGGGGTCAGTGAGACTTACATGTGATAAGGTAACACATGGGAAGATTTCCACATAGCATGAAAATGAACACTTTCACCAGATCCACACATAAAGATATGCTAGAATTTCTGGTTTATCGTGGCTTCCCAGGAGCAAATCATATTGCCTAATTGCTCCTGCTTCATTCCTCCCCTGGCATGACCAAGATAAACAAACATAAAGCCCTTGCCTTCCTGTTAAGTCCAAACCAGGGATAATTGTTGTTGTTGTTTTTTGCCACATAATAAGCCACAATCTACAAGCCAGGAACAAATGCTGAAGACATGCCTTATGGTTCCTTGGTCGTTGATTTTTAAGGTTTTTGTTGAATCTATATTTTTCTGTCCCATTTGGAAGAGTTTTCTGTGTTCTGAAACAGTAATTATGTTTTTTATGACTGTACATTTTATTGTTGTAACCTACCATGAAATCTTACGGTGGAGAGTGGTTAAGAAATCTTATAATGAATTAAACGATGGCTCCAGGCTGGCTAGTGAAACCTGGGTTGTAATGGAATTGCAAGCCATTATCCTGGGGTCAGATGAAATGGAAGCCAAGACTTCATGGTTGGTTTATCCCACTCACACCTGAGGAGGAGTGAAGCAGAGTGCTCTGGCAGCGTTGCTGCTTCAGCATGTTCCTCAGCCCTGATAAATCACGATAAGCCAGAAACCCAGGCTCAGTATTCCGTGCAAACGCAGAATGTCGAACACAGACTGGTCCACTTTTAACAGTGACAGCAGTTTGCCTCTCAAAGCTTCACACATGCAAACATGCATGTGCTTTATGTAGGTACACAGTAACTGCATTGATGATTTGCTGAAATACTGCATCAGGACGCACTCAAGAACAAGAAATGAACTGCAAATTTATTTCTTAGCAATCTATTCCAATTCCACGTTAGAAGCAGTTAGAAATACATGCAGATTCTAACTCTCTCTAACACAGAATCCTCCTTAGAGTTCCTGGTGCATTGCATGGAGGTCCAGAAGCCACATTAAAGGACTGTAATCCTTCTTCAGTGTGTTTGTTTGGTTGCCTAACATCTGTGGATTGTTAAGATAAGTTATTACACAGACCTGCTTTAGTTTAGATTAGTTTGGACCATGGCCCAGTATTTTCAATCAGGATATAATTCCTGCATGCTGCTAGATTGCTTGCTCCACATACTTCCCTACACAATATTTTTTCACTAAGCGGCTTTCTCACTGAAACTGTTATATCACCTCAAGGTTTGTCCCCCTCCCTCTTTGGAAGAAGGACTTTTGTCTCTACCCGCCCCCCCTCCTCTGGACCTACTGTAGCTCAAGGCCAGCGGCCAAATTGCATGTATTAACTAAGCTCTGGAGCGACTGCTAAACAGAGATGGTAGTGTAGTCTCTATGTGAGTATAATACAGATTTTGTTCATGTGTAATTTGTGGCGTGTGTTGTTGTATGTGTGTATGACAAAATGTTTCAGTTTTTAACTCTAAATGATTGGTGTGTGTGTGTATGACAAAATGTTTCAATTTTTAAGTGGTTGGTTGTTGTAGGCACAGCATTTTCACATATATAGGTGGTGTTGTTTTTTTTAAAAAGTTTGTGTTTCTGTGTGTGGATAGGTGGTTGGGGTGGATGCACATGTATATTTGTGCCATGGCTAGTTTAGTTATTTAGGACACATAGTTTCATCCAAAATAAATAATCACAGTATGAAGCTGTGCAAGTGCATCAGTATAAATTGATATTCAGGAATGTTTCTTTTGGAGAAGTGTGTGTTTCACATATGTTGCATTAGTATCCAGAAACATCTGTCAGTGTTATATGGAAAATTTATGTTATGGATGCATTGCGGAAGGATAAAGACTACAGCCCTATGCACATTGAACCCAATGGTGCCTACTTCTGAGTAGACATGTGTGGGATTTTTGTGATCAATCTTATTACATATCGATAGTTTATAATTATACTGTGTTGGGTTTTGGCTTAGACAACTTTTTGAGGGCCCCCCCTCAATACAGCACATGGGCTCTATAAATAGCTCCACTAATGAACATTTGTTTCAATTTGCTAGTTTTGATCGGAAACACAACAGGGTGCATGTTTCGGTAGTAGTGAACTTGGGGACTTTTGAACATCTGTATCTAGGCTATGGAGTTCAACCCACAGAAGTCACTGGCAAAGCTCCCAGCTATTTTAAGAGAGCTGAATGATGCCCTTATTTTTCCATCTTTCCATGAGCATCAGATGTGTTATGTTTAATTAAAATATTGGATTTTTGCTC